CTGCTTCTAGATAAAACCATAGCCAAAGCTTACAGAAGAAGAGATTTTTCTGAGCTGTTTCTTCAGATCTGGAGCTGGCTGTGATGCACAATAAAAATGCAGACTATAATGTGGCAGCTCAGTCCTCAAGTCACTTTAACCAAAGGCCAGAAGGATCTTGTTACAGTATGGTATCAGTAGCTTCATTACCTTCCACAGTTCTTGTACATCCTACCTCCCTTCCAACTATTATCTACACCAAGAGACATTTTTAATAGTTGTATAATTATATTTAGATACTGAAATACTTGAGAGGTTTTTTTAAAAAAAGAGGCTATCAAGAAACCTGACCCTGTTACTGGATGGATAAACAAGTGTTGCAACAGAAACAGATTCAGGTTAACCTAATGACAAATACTCTTCTGGAATAATTTATGCAAGTATGTGTGTTGGACCTTTCTTTCCAATTGCCTAGTGAAGTGCAAAATAAGGTATTTTTTTTTTAACCTTTAAATTGTGTTTTTCTAAGTTTAGTGCCAAAACACGAGTCCTACAGATATTTGATATAGTCATTTCTTCTGGAAAAACTGGAATTGGGTTTTCACATGGAATTTACTACTGGCTTAATTCTGCTTCCCGAATGTGTTTTGTTGTACTTACAATGTATATAAGTGGTTTGATAAATAGGGTGTCCTCTGTCTTACAGGAACTTTTTCATTTGATTCAGCAGATTTATGTTCTGTATAATAAAATTATTTTTGCCTTTAAACACTAAAATGAGCTAAGTGTATCTTTCTGATATATTTTATTTGAAATGTCTTTTTTTAATGGCAAAATGTCAGGAACAGACCATGGGTTCAGATACAGTGGCAGCTTCTGCAATCTAATATTTTATTTTTTATTTATTTGTCAAACATGTACAAGATAACAAGTTTAGGTATGAACCTAAAAATGAACAAAGGAAGTAAACACAGATAAATGGGGACAGTAAGACAGGGATGGTAGGCACGCTGGTACACTTATGTACTCCCCCTTTAAGGATCTCTTAAGAATGGGGTGAGGTCAGACTTCCGGTTTGAAGGGCTTCGGCGACAGACAGAAATCCGCGATCGTGCGCGGTTTCTGTCTGGGCTTGCCGCTGGAGCGCCCCAAGCCAGCTGGTTACGGGGCTAAGCCACCCCGTAGAGGTGGTGAAGAGGGGGGAGACCGCCAGCAGAGTTGAGGAGAGCCGCATCTCTCCTCCTCAGCTGGCCATTACTCCCTTTCCCAAAGGTGGTTTCAGTGGTGGTCAGAAATGGCCACCACAAAGGAGAACTCGACCGGAAAAGAATGTGCAGGAGGAAGATAAGAAGTGAAAGTTTTGGATGACCGGGTTAAATTGTAAAAGCAACAACTAAGGTACCCTGGAATTTAAACTTACAAAAAATAACATCACTCCCAAAGAAGAGTCGGAAGCAGCGAAGGAAAGTGAAAAGGGAAAGGTTTGGCTTTTTTTTCTCTTCTCTCTCCTTCCCTATACTGACAACTAAGAGACTTAAATAAGAAATCGGAAAAATCCGTTTTGACATCAATAGGCAATTAAGCTGAAAATAAAACAAAATGCCAAAGGGATAATAAAGATTTCTGGACATTAAAATTTTTCTTTTTCATAAGCAGGAAGGGAGAGAAAAAGAATAAGGGCAGGATCTGGAAGAGGGAGGAGACTACCTGGAATTAAAAAGAATCTACAGTAAAACTTCAACAAGATTTCTAAAAGATACATTTTAACTGAAACTTTGCAACTAAATAGTAACCCCAGGAAGAGAAAGTGAAAAAAAGAGCAAAAAAGAAACAGCTTGCGTGTATTTGGATTATTTGGTGATCTTTGGATTCTTGGTTATTATATTTGAATGACTAAAATCAATCGGGTGGTTGTTTAAAAATTTATACAATGGCACCACTTCTGGATGAATTGAAAATGGAACTTAAAAAGTACAAAGAAAATGCACAAGAAGGGAAGGGTTCTTTTGGCTTCGTTTTTCAATTCTTAGAAATGGAGATTTGGAACTATGAGAAACAACAAGAAAAGACTGCAAAACAAGAAGACTGGGACAAAGAAGCCATCTTTAATGAACAAGCAATTTTATATGGGGAAGAAAAAGAAAAGGGGGGGGAAAGAGAATGGAGAATTTAAGACTTAAAAAAACAACCAAAGAAAAGAAAAATAATTCGAAAAATAAGTATAATACTGGAAAGCAACAGAAAAGGGGAATACAGAAGAGAGAAATAGAGGTAGAGAGACATGGGGGTAAAAAGGGGAGAGAGGAGAGGGAAGAAGGAAAGGAAAAGAAGTTACAAAGGACTGGAGCAAGATATAGAGAAACAGGACCTATTTAGAGATAATGGGTGAAAATCTAACTGAAAAAGGGATTCTGTAAAGGTACATAAGATTGTATTGTTATATTAGTAATAGAAATAACTTTAGAAAATTGGAAACAACATATGATTAAAATGAGGGATAAAATAGTTAGTGTAATTTAGTGAAATGTTTGTGAATAAAATAAGTGAAATAAAATAAATGAGAAAATTGAATTAGGAAGGACCGGGAACATTTTAATTAGTTAATGTTTTATAAAATATAAGTGAAGAGGGGAGGAATTAACTATGGAAAGCTTATAATTGTTCCCATAGAAGTATGATATTTAATTGAAAAGTAATGTTAAAGATGTTAAGACTTTAATGAATATTAATATTAATGATAGAATTGAATTGGAATGGAATGTTGTTTTAATTATATTATACATTTATAATTTTTTCTTTTTTTAAGAATACAGTGTGTATTTTAAGAATGTACCAAGCAGAATCCGAATGGAAGTTATGTATTATATTGAATGTTACAACTTTAGGGAAAAGATATAAAGGCGTCATACTCCAATCAGTAACTACAGGAGAAATTTTGTTTAATGAGAAAAGATAATAGATAATTGAAACAGGACAGACCAAAAATATAAATATAATGATTTGAATTGAGATGAGATAATTAAAATAAAATTGAGAAAATTAAAAGAGGGGAGAAGCTATGCAGAAAATGTAAAATAGTAATAAGATATAGAATAGAATATAAAAATGAGCATGAACCTGAATTTGTGTCTGCACGAAGAAATGTAACCTGGGATTACGCTACTTTCAAAAAAGATGTTTTATTTGTTTTGTTTTTTCTCTGTGAAAACTCAAATAAAATTTACAAAAAAAAAAAAAAGAATGGGGTGAGGTCCATGGTAGACAGTTTGAGGTTGAAGCTCTGAGGGGTTGAGGCTGTAACAACAGACTCGGGTACGGTGTACCAGGCGTTGACCACTCTGTTGCTGAAAATATACTTTCTGCAATCAAGTTTGGAGCGGTTTACCTTGAGTTTGTATCAGTTGTTTGCCCATGTATTATTATGATTGAAGCTAAAGAAGTCATTGACAGGCAAGATGTTATAGCAGACAATTTTGTGAACTATGCTTAGATCAGACTGCAGGCAGTGCAGTTCCAGATTGTCCAAGCCCAAAATTTCAAACATGGAGGCATAGGGAATGCTATTGTGAGTAGAGGAGTGGAGTACTTTTCTCAAGAAATACATTTGAACCTGCTCAATCATGTTAATAGAATGGGTTTCAGGCGGACAAGCTGTATTCAATATCTGCCTGTCTGTCTGTCTATCTGTCATTGTTTGGATGAGTCAAAAGATTGCTCATCCTTAATAATTTTAGGTTTTTGTTATTCCTGAATGCCGCCAGTAACCATTTAGAGTTTGAAATATACCTGAGACAAAGGCAAAGTAACACTGTTGTCTTAGGGTTATATTATGTCTTTTAAAGTATTAGGCGATTTCAGATTTGATGTACTGGTACATTAGAAAGGTATATACTGAATATAAGAATAAGGACCTTAAGTTCATTATGAATTTATTTATTTAGAAAATTTATATTGCTGCCTACTTGCACATGGTAACTCAAGGTGGCTTACAAGGACATAAAAACACAACATAAAAATAATAATAAAATAAATGTAAATTATTGAACAAAGTGTGAGAGATGTAAAGTTAAAAGAAGGTAACCTGGGAGACTTGGTAACTTGCATAATTACATATGTAATTACATATGTAATTACATAAATTTAAAATCCAAACACTGCCTTTTTTTTTAGAGATCAGCCCCTTAATTTGTTTTTACTTTTACTTTTTAAATTCAGAACAAAAAGGTTTTATTGGGCAAGATGGATGGCATATAAGTCAAATAAAAAGAAAAATAAAGGAACAATTTTTTTTTTAAATGTTCCCTACCTGCAAGCATGCACGTTCGACCCTGAGGATAGTAAAGTGATGCTAAACAAAAGAATTAAGGCGTTATGCCAAGTAAATTTAGCTAGGGAAGTGGAATACAGAATGTAGGATTATTGCGTTGAAAAAAATATATATCAAAGAACTCCAGTGAAATCGTTCTGTAGCTGAATGAAGCAGCTACGTATACCCGGGGAAAGGAACAGCATGAAGAAATACGTTTCTTTATGATTCATCCACATTCGCGGAGGATTTACCAAGGATTCCTTGTAATATAGTTGCAGGCATGAATTGTACGGACACGACGCTACATCTACAACAAACACACAAACGACAATAACGCAGGGCGGAATTGCAACGGGCTTAAATGTTGAAAAGGTTTCTTGGAGAGGAAGCCTATTCAGATCACACAGGAGCACACACCATCCATCCTACGGTGTGCGCTTCCGCGCTTTGGAGTTGCCTTTTGCTGCAGATTCCTTCAGTCCCTCGACACTCTTCCCGCCCCCACCTTCTCCTCAACGCCTGCTTTCTCCCCCCAAAACGGCCTCCACCGAAAAATATTCAAAAACGTAACCTCTGCGGCTGGAACCGCAGCAGCAGGTTTTGGTCCTCCAACGGGGAGACCAGGCTCGCCAAAGGTATCAGGCAGCCGGGGCAGTTACAAAAAAGACGGCCTGCGCGGCTTGCTCAGAGGCGGAGCCTGGCTACGGAAGTGAAGAGCCACCCGGAAACGTTGCAGCAGCCCAGGCTCGGCTTTTGTGGCTGTGGGTTATTGGCACCGTTGTCGCTCGGGCCTTCCTTGGTGGCCCTGGGGCAACGGCCCGTCGTTTCTGAGGAGAAGCGGCCGAGGCTAGGCTGTCGCCGTCATGCACGACGCCTTCGAGCCGGTGATGATCCTGGAAAAACTGCCACTGCAGATCGACTGCTTAGCGGCTTGGGGTGAGTGCAGGGGGCGCCTCTCCGGATTCGGCCCCCGCCTTGTCCCCTCTCACATTTCAGTGACGTTGTGGGTCGAGAGTCACAACCACAAAGTCTTGTTGTACAGGGGTCAGTTTTCTACTGCCCCCCTCCCTCCCTCCCTCCCTCCCGACCACCACGTCTTGTTATGTTGAGCGAACTAGTTAAATGTCCCAGTAAGGGCGAAATCTTGCCAGTTTCCTCGCGCGTTGACAGATGATGTTTGGGACAACTTGAGCGCTTTGCGGGTTGTGATTTTTAAACGTGACTCTCACGTGAGTCATGAGAAGGAAAAGCACTGCTTGCCTGCCCCCAGGCAGGGCCGATGTGGGTCTGGAAAGGGAGAACTAAATTCAAATGCAAGCATCCCATGGACTGGGATGTTTCTCGGCTTCTGTTTGACAGGGTTGCTGTTTGTGTGTGTGGGGGGTTTCAATAGAGGAGAAATAAATGAACACGAATGCCAAATTCCTGTGTGTCTTCTGGTTTAACTGCATTTATTTTAATAAAGTCTGATCAGGTATGTGACTTGTAGCTTGTATTTTCTTCCTCTCTGGGAATCGTGAAATTCCCAGAAATTTCAAATTTCAAATATTGTACTGTATAACACTCTTGGAAGCTTTCCAATACTTTAAAAAAAAAACAACCACCTCCAAAATGTTTGATTATAACAAACCCACAATAAAGTTCATTTATAGAGCCATGAAGAGGTATGTCATATTTAGTTCTAGAATAAGGTTGTGCCCATATTTTCCTGGGAATAAAGGCAATTAGACCTGGTAACATGGGTAGGATTGCCCTGTAAATTTGGCCTTAGAAAATATGTGTTTAGTTGAAAATTATTTTTATTGAAATAGTTGTCAGACTGAATTTCTTAGGAAAAAAATAGAATATTGCTGGTGCAAATTAAATGTATTCTCATTTGTAGAAGAATGGCTCCTAGTTGGGACTAAACAAGGACATCTTTTACTTTACAGAATTCGAAAAGAAAGTGGTAAGTATGTAATGATATACCATTCTTTTGCATATTAACAAATGGTAACAACTGAGGATAGTTGAGAGCCATTTGTTATTCATTGTATTTTAGGGCAGATTCACACAAGATAGGCCCTGTACATAGACAGAATATCTGCCAAGAACCAGAAACTTATTTTAGCCTTATGCTGACTGGGTTTCTGTATTGTACTAATTTATATGTTTTTTGTTTGTTTTAGGTTTAGTGGGTTATATAAATCCAGGCATTTTGCTTTGCGAATTGTGGCTTGTGCTGTTGTACTATATGTGAACCCTTCCAGTTAATACTTATTAAGTTTAATATTAATAATCCAATTGCTGTGTATAAAACTTTTATGATAAAGAGTTTATTGGCTGCGTAAATATCCTTTGCTCCTTGTATCATGTTTAATTCCATGCAAAATTTCATTATATTTTAGAATTAGGCATAACATGTTTAAACAAGTCAGTCAGATTCATACTTGATTCTTTTGCCTTGAAACTAGTCTGTAAAATATGAATTAGAATAGAAACATATATGAATTACAACTGTAAAAAAGGATTCCCTTAAATCAACAATTTATTAGGGCTAGTTGAAATATATCTTCATTATGTGATCATGGCTGATTTGGGTCAGTACTGTCCCGTATAAATCTCATAAACTTGGGAATCCCCTCATCACAGTAATATTTTTATCACAGAGAGGGTTAATGTTATCTCTGGAAAAAGTAACATTTAAAGTCTGACAAAACCTCAATTTCTGGGACTTCCTGAACTCACAGAAAAAGAGATTGTCTTGAAATGAAAATTAATAGTGGAATCTTCCTAGTAGTTGGATAGTCAGTAGTGATTTTCTGATAACTGGATTTGTGGTAATGTGCAGTATGATTTTTTTGCAATCTTCAAATGAAGTTTTGAGACTTGTACTTCCTCTAATCTCAGTTCAGAAGTTTGTCTATTATTCTTTAACTAATAAATCAAAGTGGATTAAATAGTTAGTTTAAAATATGTCTTATCTAAATCCATGTATTGTTTGATAGGCTGCAACAGGTTTGAAGTCATATTAGAAAAATCAAACAAGAACTTCTCCAAGAAGATACAGCAGGTAGGTGTGGCAAATTCAGATTCAGCTAAGATTGTTAATTTCTGAATCCTAGGCTGCATTGGCTGGTGGGATTGGAAATGGCTGTGCAATTGACTCTGGCTTCTATAATATTTTAATTATTTTCATATTTGATTTATGTTATTGTTATGCTTATTTCTTATGTGATATAAAAAACCCTGTTAAATGAGGAATAATTTGCTTGGGGAGAAGTCAAACTAGATGGGATTTATTGACCTCCTGTTACAAATTACACGTCCTTGACTTAAGACCACAATCAAGTCCAAAATTTATGTTGCTAGTGAGACATTTGCTAAGTGATTTTTGCCCCATTTTACAACCTTTTTTGCCAAGTTGTTAAGTGAATTTGGCTTCCCCATTGACTTTGCTTGTCAGAAAGTTGCAAAAGGGGATCACATGGCCTCGGGACATTGCAGCTGTCATAAATATGAACCAGTTGCTAAGTATCTGAATTTTGATCACGTGACCAAGGGATGCTGCAATGGTTGTAAATGTGAAAAACTGTCATAAAGTCACTTTTGTCAATGCCATTGTAACTTTGAACGGTCACTAAATGAATTGTTGTAAGTCAAGGACTATTTGTAGTTTAATTGATCAGATATTCCATAATTTTCATTGAAGGGTTACTTTGTTGGAGATGAGTATCTGCTTATAAATCAGTTATGTTTTACAGTCCTTTGAAGCAAATTCACTTTTAACAAACTTACCTAAAGCTTATTTACATGGTTTTTAATTTTATTTTTAATAGATCCATGTTGTATCCCAGTTCAAAATTTTGGTCAGTTTATTAGGTAAGTGAAATAATTGATCAGATTAATTTTGTTTTGAAACAAGGCATGGCAGTCATTATAAGACTAGAGAACTTCCTTAAGAATTAAATCTTAAATTTATTTCTGAGTTGGGAATGCGTGAACTTGTTCTGTTAACCTGAATTTCAGTGTTTTGCTTTACTTCTGATCTTTAATTTTTAAAGGCCACATTAATTTTTAAAAGCCCTTTACATTTTGTTATCCTTTTAAAGCATTATTTAACTTCAAAGTTGTTTACATTGTCCATCACTCTTAGTATGAAGATTCTTTGAGATTCAGAATCATTGTAGAATTAAAAAGTGGGAGATATTTGTAAAGTTCCTATTTTATTTGAAAATAAAATAACGTTTGCGGCATTATTCATTATGAGAAAGTTGTAGAGATTTGAATAACAGCATGTGTACACCTTAATTTAAGCAGTAATTTGTGTTTTGTCCCAAACAGAAAACAACATTTATGTTCATGATCTGTTGACCTTTCAACAGATCACAACAGTTTCCAAGGCAAAAGGTGCAACTCTCTTTACTTGTGATCTGAAGGTATGTAATAAAAAGAGGCTTGCCTTCTAGAACATTAGACGTGTTAGATTAAAATGCAAAGAATTTATTACTTATTAATGTCCATGAAATAGGTGGGTGGGAGAGATGTTGATCATTCACTACTTCTGAAAATCACATTTTAGAGATGATACTTAAAACACAGATAGTTTTCACTTACTGACTGCAATTGGAACCAGCAATTGGAACGTTGAGAAATGGGTTTTATTTCAGCCTGTTTTTAGGGAGGGAAAAAGATAATCCTGGAAAAAGAATAACAATAAGGCCTGCTCAGGGCTCATTTTTATTCTACTTTCATTAGAAACAAGTCAAAAACATGAGCTTGCATATACAGTGGGCTTACATAATACACTATAATGAGGCTTGTGTGTTTGTGGCACAAATTGAGGGAATGCAACCACAGTAATTTGCACGCCAGAGTTTACTGCTCAGTATATTTCAGGACAGCAATTGTGGTTTATTCAATAAGCCATATTTAAGAAAACAATGACATAACATTGTATGTGAGCAGAGCTTAATATTGTGTTTTCCAGCTTTGAGGCTTAAAGATATATTTATTTTTACAGCACTCTGATACTGGAGAAGAGGTGCTTAGAATGTGTGTGGCAGTGAGAAAGAAGTTACAGCTGTTTTATTGGAAGGACCGAAAATTCCATGAGCTGCAGGTGCAGTATTATTTATTATTTTTATTTCTCAAATTTAGGTACTGTTCATATCACTCTCATCACCGTTCTATCATTCATGTTAAAATATAGTTTTTGGTTCGAAAGTGTCACTGATTCAAAAGTGTGATTGATTTTCTATTCAGAAAACATTTTCAAAAATAATTTGAGGAATTTAATTCTTTAACCCAATTTAACAGTTATTTAGCTTCCCTTTCAGAATTTACTTGAAGTATAACATTAGTTAACAAAGAACTAAAAACAAAGATATAATTCTACAAAACTCAGGGAGATATATATTGATGTCAATTGTTTTTTATATAAAAGAAATATCAACAGTGCTTAAAACAGCTCTTAAAAAATAAGATCTTATGATCTTTTTTAAATTTGTACCCTTTAAACTAGAATGTAATGGAGCAAAACTTAAAGGTACATTGCTGATGGTTGTCATCATGATTTCTATAAACTATGGTCTATGGCCATATTAGAAATACACTACTCAGGATACTTAAAAACATTGGATTTCCAGCAGAAACAGTTTTACAGAGAAATAGGATTTGGGTGTCAAGGGCTGGGAAATGACCATTTAAATATTTATCTTTGCTAACATCCTCCAAATTAAGGAAAGGGTTTTTTTTTCTTGGCAAGGCATAATGTTTAATATCTGGGCAATACTATTGAGAAGATATTCTAAAATCCGATTTGAGAAATGTATTTGCTTGGCTGGAACTGGAGGTGTTGAACCCCACCCCCCAAGCACATGTTATTTTATTTTACCAACTGTGGGAAGGTTTATTTATACCATTTATAATATGCCTTTTTTACATTGGTTCTTGGGTAATCTGACTGTATGTATACATCCATCCTTATTTGTAAATGATTTATAATTCAGACCATAGCAAAATGTTGCACAGCAGCCATGAAAATTAAGCATCAATTACTGACAGATCTCCCACAGTTCTAACATGTTTTTTATAGCGATACATCAATTGCCTGTATTACTTGATTTTTTCTTGCTTTTAATTGTTTTCAAAGGTACCTTTCAACCCTGGTCTTTAACTGTAATAAAGATTGATTCATTCAGATGTCTTTATTTTTATATTTTTTTACCTATGTTCTTTTTTTATTTTCTGGGAGTTCTTTTTGCCTAGAATTAAATATGGAGATTGTGCTTACGAACATCCTTTATATATATATAGAAATTATTCAGTTTCCTTAATTGTACCTAATTAGACATTTTTTCTTCTTGATCTCCAGGGAGATTTCAGTGTACCAGATGTACCTAAGTCAATGGCATGGTGTAAAGATTCAATCTGTGTTGGTTTCAAAAGAGATTATTATCTAATAAAGGTAAAAAAAACAGACTTAAGTTGGAAAATACTGATTTTTCTGGATACTCTATGCAGGGAAAATGAATGATTGGAGCATGAATTATGAATTCTCATTTCCTGTACTGAATAAACTTACTATATATCGTGAGTTTCTGAGAAAATAGGCACTTTATTGCACTATATATTTGCTATGACATCAGTGGTAGCAGTTGACCGTTGTTTGGGAAATCCCTAAACAATTTGGCTATGGTTTGATCTATGGGGTTGATGAAATAAGCTTGGTGACAGGAATACTGGGGAATGGAACAGCTCTTTCTAATAATAATGAGTAATTTGGTAGTGGCTTTTTGATTTGAATGACTAGCTTTTTTAATTCATTCACAGGTAGATGGCAAGGGATCAATTAAGGAACTATTCCCTACAGGAAAGCAGCTTGAGCCATTAGTAGTCCCACTGGCAGATGGCAAAGTTGTTGTAGGCCAAGATGATCTAACTGTTGTGTTGAATGAAGAAGGAGTCTGTACACAGAAATGTGCCTTCAATTGGACAGATATCCCAATAGCCATGGGTAAGAATAAATAAAATAAAAAAAATTTAGCTTTAAAGAAAAAATGTGTTACACACAGAAAGTATAATACTCCTTGATTTTTAAATTAATAACGACATTTGACTACATGAGCTGATACCAGTAGTTATCTTTCTGTTGTGTTGATATAATGCCAGTTTATAAATAGAAAATGTGTATCTGTAATCCAGGTTTGTGAGTCCAAAGCAGCTCTGTTTTCTTTACTACTTGAATAATTATTTTCTTTGCTCAGATTTTAATTTATTACTATATAAAAAGAACAGTTTGTATATACTGTAGTAATAAATTTTTGGCATGTATTCACATTCTTTAAAGCAGGGGTCGCCAACCTTTTGGACCTCAGGGACTACCAAACTCATAATTTTAGATCCCAGGGACCACTAACTGGTTCTGTGGGCATGGCCTAATTTGTGGGTGTGGCTTGGTGGCTTGGCTGGGCATGGCTTGTATGTAAATATTATAAATATTTATATAAATATTGATTTTTTTTATAAAAAAGAGCATCTTTTACCCAAAATCAGGCAAAGCAGGCAGGCAGATTGAGTTGCTCACAGAATCACAGATTCATTCAGAAATCAATCTATCTGCCATTGGCTAGCTCAGTCTGTCACATAAATTTTGCTTGCAAGCAAACTCAAAAAATTTGCTAGCAAGCTAACTCACAAAATTAACTCACAACACACCATGTATGTAAATATTGATTTTTTTTAATAAAAACAATTTTTACCAAAAATCAGGCAAAGCAAGCAGATTGAGTTGCTCACAGAATCATTCAGTGATCTATCTATCTGCCATTGGCTAGCTCAGTCTCTCAAATTTGCTTGCCGTGAGTCTGCATTGAATTTGCTTGCAAGCAAACCTTCAGTCCTAAGGGAAGCAGAGCTGAAGATCTAAAGACTAGCTAGAAAGCAAGAAATCCAACCATTTCCTGCTTCCTAGCTAATCTAAATCTCCCGGCACAGCAGAACAGATGATAGTCGGAAAAAGGAAAAATAGCAATTTTAGCAGGCAAGTTTGCTGGGTAAGGAGTGAGTGGGCAGGGAGCATTCCTGCGGGCCATGTGGGTGGCGCAGCCTTGTGTTTCTGCGCAGCCTGGATTAATTGCTTTGGGAGGGTGCTCTGGGGGTGAGATTTCTCTGTGGCCCACCAAAATTTTCTCAAGGCCCACCACTGGTTGGCGACTGCTGCTTTAAAGAACAGTGATCATATTACAATTTTGTGAATATCAACCCAAAGTGAAATATTAAAGCCATGGGTAAGGGTTCCATCAGCTTTGATCTCAGCTTTTTTTGTACATTTGAGGAATCGGGTAAATATAGAAAATAAGCACTTGTTGAATTAGTTTTTCCTTAAATTCATAGGAATTAATATTTTAAACACACTTTATAAATCATTAGTATATGATATACTGGCATTTTATTCCAAAACTTTGAAGATAAAAAGTAACAATCTTAATTGTTTAAAGAAATTTGATTTAGGTTTAGATGTAACTAAAACACATTATGGTAATAGTAATTCAGGACGTTTATTTGAAGCCAATGCATCCAGGCCAAACAAGTGTAGGAGATGTTTAATTGAGTATACTGCCGTCCCATATTTTATACAGTTTAAATGCATCCTGTAAATAAATCAGTTGGCTTAAATACTGTTTTTGTGATAAGCTGATTTGAAGTATTAATGACATTAATGACTCATGGCTTCCAGAAAAGAAAGCTTTACCAGCTCTTTTAAAAATCAGTATTTTCCAAGGATAAATGCAGGGTTAGTTTTGTGAATAAAAGGTTAGTTTTGTGAATAATAAAGGTGGAATTTTATCTGTATCTCAGCGTCTTCTAAAGTTTCCTTGGGTACTTGAATGCTGCATAAATATGTGTTTAGAAGTAGAGCCAAGCTACTCCAGAAAGGTTGCATAATACATTTTTTGTTAGGTTCATAATGGACTGCTGAGCATGAGTTCTATGGAATTACTTAATGATTGACAAATAATATTCTATTTACAATAGTTCTTATGCAAAGAATACTAAATCAATACCACATAATAATCCAGTTGATTAAAAAATTGAGAAAGGTCCATGCTTTGGCAAAACTCAAGCATTTCTAATGTAACATGTCCAAAGGTTTCTCTATATCCTATTAATCCACTGATTATAGGATTTCTGAATGTAGAGCCAAAGATACCAGTTAGTAAGCTAACAATATCAGATATTTAACAACCTGTTATAAATCAGATTGTGCAGTCTGAATAAAGATTTTGTCATTTGTTGTGCGATGGTTAATAAATTTGATTAGGATTGGAGAGAGTCAGATTTTAGTTTATCTTCGGCATGGATACTCATGGGGTGACCATGGACCAGTCACCCCTTTTGTCGCATCCTATTTCACAGGGTAGTTGTGGGAAAAATGTAGGAAGAATGAGGGGAATAGCTAAGTTAAAGTTCTTGGAGGAAATACAGGATATAACTCAAATATTGTAGTCTGTATACCAGAAACTCAATGACATTAGCAGTTTCTTTTGAGTCCAATAAATACAATGGTTTGAGATGACGTTATGCTGTTCTCAAAAAATACATTAGTGTTAGAAAGAGAAATGATTACAAAGCCAAGGGGTAGAAAGAAAGTAATAAAACATTTGCTACTTTTGAATGTAAAGTTGTTTAGCTCTATGCCAGTGGTTCCCAAACTTTTTCAGTCCACCACCCCCTTGGTGCTATAAACTCATCCTTGGTGCCCCCCACCCAGGGGTGGGATTCAAATTTCTGTGGGCGTGACCTAATTTGAGGGTGTGGCTTGCTGGTCACGTGACTCGGGTGTGGCTTGCTGGTCACGTGACTGCCTGGTGTGACTTGCTGGCTGGGTGTGGTTTGGTGGTCATGTGACCAGGTAGGTGTGGTTTGGTGGTCACGTGACTGAGTAGTTGTGGCCAGGTGATCGGCAAACCAAATACAAGTGGTCCTCCCTTAATGGCCGATTGCTTAGCAAGTATTCTAATTTATGACTAGCCTCCCCAGAGCTACTTGACCTGTTTTTGAAGTTTTGACAGCCATGCACACACGCACACACACTCCCTTCTAACTCTGCTGGACCAGGTCATTGGACTAGAATCGGCAAAGCACCTCTGATTAGATTCTAGTAGTGAATAGAATATAATCAGAGATGCTTTGCCAATTCTTGTTGTTTTGTTTTATTTTTATTTCTTTATTTTATGTTGCTGAATTGCATTGATATGTGTGTCCCTTCTTGTGCACAGCCCAGAAACTTTTGTGATTCTTTGCAGCAAAAATTACTGACCTCTGGCTTTGCTCTACTTTTCAAACGCTCCACCATTGCCGCGTTCTAGGTGCCAGCCTCACAGGTCCACCCCATTGAGCCCGCTTCACTGGAGGGACCTGCCCAAGCAAGTCCAAGCGGAGCAGTGCACCAAGTCAATGGGGTGAGCCTGAGAGAGGGAAAGAGAAAGAGAGAAAAGAAAGAGAGAGAGAGAAAGAGAGAAGGAAGAAAAGAGAAAAGGGACAGAAAGAAAACGGGACTGACAAAGAAAGGGGGGGATGGAAGGGACAGAAAGGAAAAGAAATAAAGAAGGAGGAAGGGAGGGAGGAGAAGGATAATATCTATTCTAGTCCAATCACCCGTTCCAGCAGGGTTAGAAGTGTGTGTGTGTGTGTGTGTGTGTGTGTGTGTGTGTGTGTGTGTGTGTTCTCGTAATTTACCAGTACATTTTGGTTTTGCCTTCTTCAAAATTGGCACTGTAATACATTAGGGAAAAGTAGTTTTTTAGGGTGGAGGTCTGGTCCAATGGATCCAGTTTAAAGCCTCAACAAAATGTGAGAGCTTTCTGATAGTCTTGACCATGTTTTCTCCACAAAACCTTTAATTAGAAGCCAAAGATGTTTCAATGTGCTGGCAAAGATGCTGGCAAAGATGTTTCAATGTGGAAAAGGGCCTCTAAACTAGGCCTCATTTCAATCTGATGCATCCGGTCTCTCTCTGTTTCTCTCTCTTGTTCCCTCTCTCTCTTTCCCTCTCTCTCTATCCCTTCCTTAACCTATCTACCTATTTTCTGCCCAGGCAGGCTTGGGCTAATCCTGCATCACCCCATTTCCCCTTTCAGAGGTCCTGGCCCTTAATCTCCCAGTTTCCTCACCCACAACCACCTCTTTCGTCGTCCCATGACTTTACCTTCCTCCCGTGGCTGGTTGCCAAAGAAGGCAACCCAGGGCTGAGCCATTGCTGTCGCTGGGCTCCCCGCCAGCCCATGTCATCCTTGTCATTGAATGCCTGCAGCGGCCATGTTTTTTTCAGTGCAGCTGGACTGCATAAATTAGGCATGACTCACTTAATCATACTGTTTAGCTACAGAATTCTGGGAGCAATTGTGGCCGTAAATTGAGGACTATCTGTGCTATTATTTGCTGTAGCAAATAGGAAAGGGTATTTACACTGGTTCAACTGCTGAACCTCATTGATAGAAAACCAGAGACACTGTGGAATGAAATCAGTTTTATTTATTTCCTATATTTATAGCACACCTTAACTGTATATTACTGAAAGCTGTGTTCTCTCTCCTTTCTTCCCCACAACAACCTTGTTAGGTAGGTTAGCCTAAGAGAAAGTGACCCAGGCAGCTTTAATCCCCAATTGAGCAATTCATGGTTTCCCAGTTTCTAAGTCAAAATAAAGGACGAAGACCATAGAATTTCAGAGAGCTGTTAGCAGAGACAAGCAGCATTAGAACAATATCTGTAGAGACACTGAAGAAACAGACATGGAAAACTAAGGAAAGTTATCTAAAAGTTCTCTGAACTTAGAAGGAGGTTACAGCCACAAATTGGGTAGTAAAGGATGCTAATGGACAGATAGTAACCAGTTCAAAGGAGATCAAACAAAGATGGAAGGAGTACGTGAAAATACTATACTGTACAGTACAAATGTCATCATCCTTAGAAGATATTCCTTATATACCCTTTTCTTTCTATGATTGATAATAATTTATGAACTTTGAATGCTGCCCAGCTCTCAATGCCACTCTACCATGCATCTTGAAATCTAGCCCAGTGTAAACTGGAGATGCTGAAGGTGTGGTTAATGACTTAAAATTTGGTGTAATTTTACGATGCAAACCTAAACCATCAGGATGGTTAATAGGTTACCTAACCCAGATAATTAGGTTAATTTATGCTGTGCTTCAGCTAACCATGATTTAGCGCGAAAGCCAGAGGTTTTCCTTTGCTTTTCAAAACCTGGCTGCCTTTTTGCTGGAAATCTTGGCGTATTGAGGGGGGGCGCATATGTCTTGCCTTCCTCGCACCCCACCACTGCCCCCCGAGAGAACCCCCTTTGCCTGCCTGCGGAGGAGACTTTGTCTCTGGCCGCTGCCAGAGGGCTCTGGGTGGCACCAGGGAAGAAGTCCGTCTTTCCATCTCTCTCATTCCATGGCTCTGGGCGTCACTTATTTAGCTTTCTGGGTGAGCTGGAGGCAGCGGCGGGCCGGGAGAACCACCCCGCCGTGGGTCCATTCTGTCAGCCGCCGGGAGATTTCCTTGCAGCTGGCTTGACCCAGCCCAGGTGGGGATCTGTTGCGGCTCGGTGCAGGCAGCGCTTCCGGGATGGGAAGGGTGAATCCCGCCTGCAGCGCTGATTCCCTGTGCCTGCAAAAAAACTCCAGCCACCATGTTTTTTTTTTTGGTGCGGCTGGACTCCAGTCGCACCAAAAAAAACCACAGCATCTGGATGCTTTTTGGAGCAAAAATTACCAACCTCCGACTTTGCTTGCTCTGCTTTTCCAATGCGCCGCTGTGGCCGTCAGCGATTGTTGTGCGTGCGCACGATGTCACATATGCGCAATAAGGACTGGCTGGCCAGGGAATGGAGGAACGGGCGGAGAGGAGCAGGGCCAGGCTGGGGCTCGTTTTACCAGTTCTCCAATTACCGGAACGGTAATGAACGGTAGAATCCAACCCCTGGATTGCGCCCTGCGAGGGGGCCATCTCCAGCACCCCCTGGCACCTCTTAGTGCCCCCCTGCTGGCCCCCTTGCCTCTTAGTGCTCCCCTAAGGCATCCCACCACCCCCTGGGGGCGGTACCGCCCACTTTGGGAACCACTGCTCTATGCTGTTGCTGACTGTTTTGTTTCCATAATAGAACATCAGACTCCATACGTGGTCGCAGTATTGCCAAGATATGTAGAGATTCGTACGTTTGAGCCCCGTCTCCTGGTTCAGAGTATTGAACTACAACGGCCACGCTTCATTACTTCTGGAGGGTAGGAAAGCTTTAATTGCCCACTTTTCTTCGATTTTGCATATAAAATACTGTTGAATTATTAAGTTTAAAGTGTTGTTGAGCAAAGGGGAATTAGCCCTTTAATCTTATTAAGGTACATTGCTGACTGTATCTTTTTCCTTATTTTAGTCCTAATATTGTATATGTGGCCAGCAATCATTTTGTTTGGCGCCTCATTCCAGTTTCCATTGCAACCCAGATTCAGCAGCTCCTCCAAGATAAACAGTTTGAATTGGCTTTGCAATTGGCGGTAAGTGAAAGGTTAAATATATTTTCAGTCTATAGTTGGGGTCTCATGTCATACTAAACCATAGTGAGGTATCAGTTGTATCTGGTTTAGTATGATGTGTGAACCTAGTCAATTGTGTTTTAAATGACTAACTGGGACTCACAAGCCATAAATTAGTAAGTTGACAGAACTTGAGTGAATCTGTGACAAATAATTATATTTATGTTGCTATCTAGTAAAAGGGCTGTTTGAAGACAAAATTATTTGTTAATTGGGCATATAATAATGAGTAACTGCAGAATTTAGTGCTTATCCTCTAAACCTATAAAAGTTGGTTTAGTTTGATTCAGGTTGATTATAATAAGCTTTGGTTGTAACATAATGGAAATGAACAAATCAGGGTTTATTTCATTAAATAAGAAAGTGTGGTTACATTTCGGGAACAAAAGTCATAGTATAAAGCTATCCTGGCTTGCTTTAAAGTCTATAACCATGGTCTTTAAATTTGGAACAAACTTAAAATAAAATAAAAAAACTAGTTCTGTGAAAGATTTAATTAGTTTGTCTTCTTATGCAAAATAAGCAACTTGTGTGGGATAAAAATATTTATTAATCTGATTGTATTTACTACAAAAACATTTTTGTAGGGTTACAAAAACATTTGCTATAAATGATAATATAGTATCTCTTTGCGAGAATCAATCATGTGAGCACTGCCTTATGCCAAAGGTGCACAACCTTTTTGAAATAACAATATCACTTGTCTTACATTTATTTAAATCATATTGTTGTTGTTGCTTCTCATGCATTTCATATTCTCCTCCTGTCAAATTAGTTTACAACTTAGCAGTAATGTTGGGAGAGGTTTGAAAGAATGTGTTCAAGGCTTTGGAGTATAGTTATGCGCATCTCAGGGATTGGAGATTGTATACTGAGAACAGTAACTGTGAGTTATGTCACTGTTTGATTCATTCAGTGCAGTCATATTTTTGAATGCACTGGATTTTTGTACTTCTTAATTAAGCCTATTATGTATTACTCAAATATTTATTATGGTCTCAGTGTTCATGGACTACAAATATGACAATAAAGTTTATCACACTCAAGAAACTTATTTGTGTTCTTATTCTCGGATAGCATAACTGAGATAGAAATATATCTTGGCTTGCATGAACAATTTTCCCCACAAGTATATTCAAATATACTTTTTCATTACCAAGGATCAATTTCCTTAAGAGCCAATGTGCTATTTCCTAAAGGTTTGCATTTTTAATTCTTTATTTCTTATTTAGGATATGAAAGACGATTCTGACAATGAAAAACAACAACAGATCCATCATATTAAGAATCTTTATGCCTTCAATCTTTTCTGCCAAAAGCGCTTTGATGAATCAATGCAAGTCTTTGCTAAACTTGGGACAGGTAGATTTTTATTTCCAGCCTCACTTTAAATTGTGCAAGGAGAATTAAATACTACTAAAATGTATCTGTATAAAACTCTAAATAAGTATTAGTGTTTGGATTTTTGTAAGAATATCCTGCGGAACGTTTCTTTTTGTTATTGCAGAGAAGACAAGAGAGGTAATTTCCTCTTGAAATTTCAGTCCCTTATGAATCCTCCTGGGAAGATTCTTGAGAATGCATAGCTGAATATCAAAATACTCTTCTGCCAATAATCAATAATGTTACATTTATCTTGCAACGTTGTGAGACTGCCACAAAAACATAGAAGCATTTTTAATATGGAAATAAGTATTTCATGTGAAAACTAGCCTTGGGTAAAGAATAAATTTATCAGCAGCAGTAGCTTGATATCTTTTTTTAAAAAAACTATTTGTTACATTTGCCTATAATTTTGAAATGTATTCTCTCAACCCCCCCTCACTCAAGCTATTAAAATGTTGAAGAATAGAAAGCTCATGATTAAAAATAGTGAAATTCATTTGATATTTATTTCCGGTTTAATTGACACTATTTATGATTTTCAAGCCAGCCATGTATCTATTCATGTTGTTGAATCCATAATATTTTACTACTGATATAGATCTTAGTCAAATTAGTTTCTTTGTGATAAAAATAAAAGAGATAAGTACTGTGAATTTAAATTTGTTATAATTTGTATTTTTGTTGAAAATATTTTTACCTACCACACTTGTGTTTTTTTTTAGATCCTACACACGTGATAGGTCTTTATCCTGAACTCTTGCCCACTGATTACAAAAAACAGCTCCAGTATCCAAATGCAGTGCCAAGTCTTTCTGCAGCAGAGCTAGAAAAAGCACACCTAGCACTTATAGATTACTTAACTCACGTAAGCATTTAACTATTGTGCTTTTCCAGTGGCTGCTTATGTTAGACACCAGCTCCGGATTTGTTTAAAAAGTATAGAATGTCATGTTCTTGTTTTATTTAACATTTAAAATGGATTTGAGGGAGGGCAAGTTATGATCATTTGGTTAGATTAGAACTTTGATATGAGAAGTCATGCTAAAAAAAATAAAATTGCAGTTTCTCTGAATGAGCAATGTTCACTATCTTGCTCTGTATAGTACAGAAGGTGAGTCTATGTCTTAGAAGCTTGCAGTCAAGATTTTGGCCATGAGTAGAGAGAAGAGATAGAGTGGAGAGTCAAGTGTAACGAAATAGTGGAAAAAGAAGAAGACAGAGAGATCTGAGTAATAAGAATTAAAGAGTACAGAAAAACTAAAAGAATCAGGCTTCATTATTTTGAGTAATGTGGGCAGGGTGCAACCTTAACTTTATTTTCTCTTTACAGAAACGAAGTCAGTTAGTAAAGAAGCTGTATGATTCTGACCATCAGTCTACTACATCTCCCCTCATGGAGGGAACACCAACCATAAAATCCAAAAAGAAATTGATACAGATAATTGATACTACATTGTTGAAATGCTTCCTCCATGTGAGTACTCTTCATCTTTTGAATTGGAAATTCATAGCAGAAGTGAAATGTAAGTTTATAGTGAAATACTAATTGGGTATTAGAAAGATCTAAAGATACATACAGGTAAATATGGAGGAAGGAGGAGACTGCTTTAGAAACGTCTTTCTTTTTTAGTTAATTCCAAACAAATCCTTTGTCTTCAGGGGAAGTTCCAAAACATGGTCAGATATTGTTTGCATTAATGTGATGAGGAGGCTCTATGTCTAATATTGAACTAAAAAAAATTCTTGTTCCAGTTCCTGATGGAATTGCAACTGAAAAATATTTTAAGGTATAATCTGGAAGAGAGTGAAGAATCATGTGAAATCTAATGGACGGTTCTCTTCAAATAATTAAAATAAGAAAACACATTTAATTGTGGCTAAATATTGTTCAGGTCATTAATACATATTAGTTTCATTTTTTAAAATAGTAATTTTATTAAAAAAATAAAACTACAATGATAAAAATTAATACAAACTAAAAACAAAAATAAAAAGATGCAAATAAAAGCTATAGAAAAAATACAAAAGAAAGAAAAAATAAGATACAGTAAAGAAAAAATATATAAAGAAATGACTTCCTCTTCATCACAATTATAAACCATTTTAGTAATTTATCACCTTCTCTTAAAATACAATGAAACTCTTTTCTCATATCCATCTCTTGTTTATAAGCAAATTCTTAATAATCTTGTTATTTTACACCTGATCACAAAAGTCCACTGAGGATTACCAAAGTTAACAACATATTTTAAACTTGATCAAATAAACCAACTTCATATCCCTCCCTTGTAGTTTTAACAGTTTCTTTAACCTCTTCAAATTATGTCCTAAAAACTTAATTTCTTTTCATTTTTTTGTCCCTTTTCATAAAATTTTTCCAAGTATTAACAAACCAATTGTAAATCTAATATACAAAGACTATCCAGATTTGTTTTGTGGTTTGTTATTTGTATATCATTTTAATTGTTAAGTCAGCTGGGCTCTTTTGTATGTCCAATATAGCATCTTTTTCCATAACAGTTTTATAGCTTGTCATTTTAAAATTCATTTTTAGATCAGTCTTAATCTTGAAGGGTAAAACTTGTCCCTCTTCCATAATGTCTTTTAAACAGTCTATCTTTAGAGGTAGACACTCTTTAAAATTAAATTCTGAGTCTGTTGTTAAAAAATGTCAAATGTATTATTGTGTTGTATTGTGTATATTAAGTTAAATTTAGGTGTTCTTTAAATATAATCTTAATTTTTCTTTCAGTTTGCTCTAGTTTCTAAACTTTAAAATCCCATCATTTTTTGAAGAATTCAAAACAAAAGTATTTTTCCACAGGAAAGATTCTTACAATTAATTCCAAAATTTTATTTTAAATTCATCTACCTTTAATTAATTGGTAACTCTCCAAATTCAAAGTTGCTGTTTATTCCAAAAATGTTTTTAACTCCTGAAACTCATATTTAAAACTTTTTTTTGCTAAGGATTGAAGGAAACTCTTCCATTGCTTTGAATCCTGTTAATACAAAGGTTCCTTGTAGCCAAAAAACAGCTAATAAGCATTTTCCAAAAGTTATTAAAAAAGTATTCCTGTTCTTAAAGGGGCTGACCATTGGTTGAGCAAGATATCAATTCCCTCATCTCCCAGAGTTCTAATGGTTCTAGAGGCTGTTATCTTGCAGCGTCTTCAGAGGGAACATCTGTACGGAGCACTTGTGGATAATCTCATGTCATCTCCTTGTCTGGAGAGTAATTAGTAAAAGCCAATCTATTACTTTTAGCAGAAGGGTCTTTAGTTTGCCATTTTTCCCCTAGAAGGCCTCATTAGTTTCAGTTGTGAAGCCAAGATGATTTGTTGAAGAGCATGTTATGTCTTTATATTACAACTGTCTTCATTCCTAGTGAAAATAACTATATATGCCTTGAAACTTTTACTGTTCATTAATTAATAGGCAAGAGGATATTGTAGGTTTATGATAGTACCTTAATGTTAGTGAAACTGTGTACAATAGAATGTTTATAAGGGAGAAGGGTAGATTGTCTCCAATTTTTATTAATAACATAATCTCATTACTTGCAAAATGTTTCATTATCTAATTTCTTTAATTCACGTTTCATTTTGCTTATGTGAATTTGTTTCTGATTCCATTAAATTGCTTCTTATTACAGACAAATGTAGCCTTAGTGGCACCATTACTGAGACTGGAGAACAATCATTGCCATATTGAGGAAAGTGAACATGTGCTCAAGAAAGCTCACAAATACAGTGAATTAATCATACTATATGAGAAGAAAGGTCTCCATGAAAAGGGTAAGTACTGAGAGAGGAAAGAAGGAACCAAAAGGTTCGCTTCCATATCACTTCCATATCACTTTAAGCTATTCGTTTTTGGTAGTATAATATATGAGCAAATTTTGCATGGAGTGAACTAGAAAGTGAGATCATTTTTTTTTTAATGGGGAGGGGAATTAGAGATTGCAGGGTGATGTTCAGACTGGGCTACATAGTTTATAATATTGTCAGATTTGTCACCAGAGTGAAACTGATATCTGGCATGCATATTTATGTTCAGACGTTGTAGATAAAATAGAATAGAATAGAATACCTTTATTGTCATTGCATTCTACAAATACAATGAAATTTGAAAGCTACTCCAGCACAGTGTCCCAAACAGCACATCACAATCACACTAGAGAGTATTTAAAAATTAAAATAATTAAAATAATAATTAAAAACCTAGTCTAAGACCTATTTAAAACATATAGTAAGTTTGATAGTTTAAAAATGCCATTATATACATAGGGCTAAATCACATATGCATTTTTTGATTCAAGACAATTATTGCCTTGGAAAAGAAACTGTTTCTCAGTCTGTTAGTCCTCATTTTAAGACACCTATAACGCCTCCCTGATGGTAAGAGTTCAAAATATGAATGTCCAGGATGAGAATGGTCTGTGGAGATTTTTAGTGCTCTAGAGAGGAGTCTGGTCTTCGCAATCTCTTCCAAAGAAAAAAGAGAGCAACCAATGATTTTTTGTGCTATGTTTATAACTCTCTGGAGCATCTTCTTATCAACTACAGAGCATCCAGCATACCACACCGCTACACAGTATGCCAAAATGCTCTCGATGGTAGAACGGTAAAAAGTAACCAGTAACTTCTCACCCAGACCACTCTTTTTCAGCAGCCTCAGAAAGTACAGGCACTGTTGGGCCTTCTTTGCAGTGGCCATAGTGTGTACTGACCAAGTAAGGTTGTCAGAAATATGAGTTCCTAGAAATTTAAAACTGTGAACTCTTTCCACACAGTCTCCATTGATAGATAGTGGGAGAGGCTCTGCTTTGCATCTTCTGAAGATTTTGATGGCCCTCAAAGCAACTATGCTGAACCTTGAAAAAGATTCCACACCATAACTTGCTTTGAACAGCAAGTTTGGAAGGATACTTCACAGAATAATCCTCCAAATAGTTTTGCACAATCCTACGGTTTAACTTAAAAGATAATGAAATTGAGTTCTATTTTGCTGAAGCCTTGCAGGTGCTAGTGGATCAGTCCAAGAAAGCTAATTCTCCTTTGAAGGGCCATGAAAAAACTGTACAGTATTTACAACATTTGGGTGAGTGAAGTTGATTTACTTTCTTTGCAATTGGTGTTGTGGTATATTGTATTATTTCATATATCAAGAAAAATGGTTAATAGTTATCACAAAAGTAAACAAACAAAAATGTAATGATTGGGATTATTCCCATCATAACAATATATAAGTTCACATTATAAAATAAGAAATTAGACTGAGAAGATAATGTTTACATGAAAATCGGTTAATAGCTTTTTTTCTCAGTGCAAGTGAACATTTTCCTAAAAAATGTCCACCAAGCACCAAACATCAAGCTCAGAAATACCAAGGACCCCACAAAAGTATGTCTGGCTGGAGTTTTTAATAGGATCTCCAGAAATTATGGTAATAATCATGGTATGTGTAGCAGTAAGAAAGCTGTGACCCAAAAATCAGGAGTGCGGGGAGGTATTTAGAACTCTCTTGGATCTGGCAGAGTTTGTATGCTCTGGGTTTTTCCAGTTGAGCAATGCCATCTCTCAGGGCCCTAGAAACTCACCTTCTCTATCATGCAAATATATTGGCAAAGAAAAGGCTTCAAGTTTCAAAGAGTCTTGATGAACTTGCTAATAGAGGAGGGCTGGATAGTTCCTTTCTCAATTTTCAAGATAACAGCTAAATTTTGATATTGAAACTAATGAAAGGAAGTATCTGTGAATCTTGCTTCCTTGATCGTTCTCTGCAGTTAACAACCTTGATGGTGTCTGTGTATGTTCTCTCCCTCCCTCCCTCTTTAAACAAAGGTGTATTGAAAAAGATGTGTCTCGTCAGTTGCACCTTATCCTGTCATTGTGTTACCTTTGTAGTTCTTTAATTTGACGCCTTTGTTTTATATTGTAGGAACAGAGAACTTGAATTTAATATTTTCCTATTCGGCTTGGGTACTTAGGGATTTTCCTGAAGATGGATTAAAAGTAAGTACACTTGGATACATTTAAAAACAGAGAGGAGGAAGGGTTCTCTTCACTGACCTTTGGGATAGTAAAGCAAATAGTCTTAGACAGGTTGCTGCCAGCTTGACTAATATTCCTAAAGCTATTAAATAGGTTAAGAGTTACTTTTAATTATTATGACTATATACTCCACATGGGGACTACTTTGAACAACAATAAGATAAATTATAAATTATATTGTAATCCATCCAAAAAGAATGAAGCATCTGTTTGGTAGGCAGTACAGTTTCAACTATGTAGCATCTAATTGTCTGACCTCATTCAGAGCATTTGCAGAATTAAGCTCAGGTTTTAATAGAATATCCTGCTTTTCTATATATGACACTAAGTTTGGATTACAATATTGACAATACAAAGAAACTAAAAACTATATAAAAAGTCTCAAGACTTTTTTAAGTAGAAAGGTCGCTTGGAATTTGGGGACAAGATGGATTTTGCTTAAAACAAATGCTTTGTGTTCCAATATGCTAATTTCCCATTCCTTTTTATTAAAATTCTTTATTAAAGCAATTTGGGCAAAGAACTTGACAGAGCTAAAAACGTGGTGGTGGATATACTGTTACCTTCAGACTCTATATTAAGGCCCTAAGATAAATAAGCTTCATCAGCTCCATAATAGCAAATCATACGAAATACAACGAAAATGATGGATTGATTGGAAATATATTAATTAGTCTTTGAGAAGGAGAAATAGTTAATTGTAGATATTTGATCAGAGAGTATTGCATATTTCTTTTATTTGTTACTACTTCAGCTTCTAGGAGATCAAGGTGGCTTAAATAACATTCCCTCTTTCCTGTTTTTGCCTAACTCAATAGTCTTGTGAGGCAGGTTGAGTTGAAAGATGGTGACCACCCCAGAGTCACCCAATGAACTTTCAGGGTTGGGGTAAGCTAATGTAGCATCCCAATATACAGTGGTCTTGTTATTTGAACTTTAATAAAATCAGAGTAAGTAGGCAAATATCAGCTTTGGAAATTCAACCATTTTTGTTTGGCAGATATTTACAGAAGATCTTCCTGAGATAGAAGCCCTCCCACGAAAAAGAATTTTGAACTTCTTGTTAGAGAATTTTAAAAACCTCGCTATTCCTTACTTGGTAAGAACAAAAATTGTAATAATATACTTTTTAAAATCTCATGCTTTATTTCTCATACTGTCTAAATTATTTGCAAAGAAGTAATTTTAACCATCATTTTAAAATTAAAAAATAGTTTCTAATAGATAAATAAGGAGATACATAGTCATTTTAAATTCCCATGATCACATTTTGAAATATTACAACATTCTAGAGATATGTAGCATTAACTGTTATATTCTGTATATGTACATATATTCCCAGGAGCATGTAATTGATATCTGGAACGAGTCTGGTTCAGAGTTTCACAATTGTCTGATTCAGCTCTACTGTGAGAAAGTGCAAGGCCTAATGAAGGAATATCTCACTTCTTTCCCTCCAGGTATTTTCACCTGTGATTTATACTATTATGCATAACCAGAAGCAAGAGTAGAGTTGGGATTGTTGCAGAGGGGAGCCCCAGTGATTCTGGAGTGTATGGGTAGCACTGTTTGGTTGCTCACTTAAGTAAGAGAACATTTTTAGAAGACTTAAAGAAATATAGAAGACTTAAAGAAATATAGATTGATCATTTACAGTCAAGAAAGAAAAAACGCTTATGTGCATTTTTAGTAGAATATTACAGAAGGCCAAACATAAAGAACAGCAGTAAGACATATTTAGTCACATATAAAATTCTTTTCTGACAGATGAAACACCAGTGCCAGCTGGAGAGGAAGAGGGGGAGCTTGGAGAGTACCGAAAAAAACTTCTTTCCTTTCTCGAGAGTTCCAGTTATTACAATGCTGAGCAACTCATCAGTGACTTTCCCTTTGATGGTATGAAGTAGTCAGTCACCCATTCTGTGCAACATTTACAGTATTTCTAAGATTTTATTTTTTTGGGGGATTTAACTAAGAGGATTCCCACATATGTCTGTATCAGCCTGTTATTTAAGAGCTGTTCTATAACAGCTTTTATAGCTCTATAACAATTCTATAACATAGGCTTTAGTCTGCAGATTGACAATAAAAAAACCCTGCAATCTTTGATTAAGAACCATATATGAAAAACGGCTCTATGGGGAATCACATTGGTGTACAATAGAATTTGTGTGTTGGAATTAACATCTAAAATAGTTAAAAGCATAGAATTGTCTGGCTAGCTAGCTAGTTAGCTATCATTTATATTACATTCTTTAATCCTGTGTTAGCCACCCAGAGTTAGATTTGTGAGATGGGCAGCAATATAAGTCGATTTAAATAAATATGGAAAATGCAACTAGACATGTTGGCAAAAATAATCAATAGTTTTCTGATCTATGATTGTAATTAAATATTTTGATTTAGTCAAGAGTCATTCCTGAACTTATATAAGCCTAGAAAAAGACAGGGTAGTTTTTAAAGATTTGAAGAGTGGTGCTTTGCAGAGTTTCTCTTTTGAATGATTTGCATAGTCCCATAATTTAAACAGCAATGCATATTTTATTCCAACCTCCTCCATTGGTTCTTTCCTTCTTTCTTCTTCACTACTATACATATTCTTATAGACAGCTTTATAAATTTCATTGCCACTGAGTGCTACTTTTCTCCTGCCCTCAGGTCTCCTAGAAGAACGTGCATTGCTCTTGGGACGGATGGGAAATCACGAGCAAGCTCTATTTATATACGTTCACATCCTGAAGGACACCAAGATAGCTGAAAAGTATGAGCATGCTTTGTAATCCTTGAAACTGATAACCATCAATTTATTGGCACCTCTTATTAGACCATTTGATTTTCAACTACATAGCTTCTCTGCTTTGTTGTTGTTGCAAAACTAAATTTAAAAGTTATGTAACCACAGTGCATAACAATAGTTTCAGTGTCACTATAATGAACAAGAATGTTTTGGTAATCTTTGCAGTTTACTCTAACAGTCTAGAAAGATTACAATTTGCATACAGTTTCAAAGAAGTATAGCTGGCCTATATGGTTTTGCTATCCATTTTTGTTGACACAGATTTGAAGGGGATTCCAAGCAAGAAAGAAATATAGGCAGATTCAAGTTAAAATCTTCATTGTCCAAAATTTCTGAAGAGTCAGAATTTTTGACTCTTTAAAAAGAGTCAGTTGTGAGAAATATCTATAATATTTAAGAGATTTTGAACTTGTTTCTTTTGAAATCATGTTGGTACTTATAAGTAAATCTTCAGTAAAATGCACTCAGCAGAATTTATCAAATCGCTAATTTTATAAAATTAAATATTCTCCAATAACTCTTGTTTTCTCCAGAGTAATTAGACTTGTCCAGTGTTTTTGCCAAATGAGAAGTCTGTTTGAATATCTTTGTCATTTGCTATCAACTGATTGATTAAAAATCAAAATATGTAGTTTATAATATGCTAAGTTTCTGTTCTGATTTTTCTCTGAATTTCTTGTTGTTTTCAGTTACTGTCATAAACACTATGACCGAAACAAAGATGGCAGTAAAGATGTGAGTAACTCGTTTTTCAACATCATAAAGTTAATGCCCTGTGTTTATTAAACACACTTTGACATTTACTACATAATTACATGCAGATAATAGATAAATGCTATTAAAAATAATAAATAGGTAGCATGGGGATGTGGAGGAAGTAAGATTAAAATGAGAATGAATATTTAAACCATTGTCCTCCCTGCAGTACTAATTATAGTAGATCCAACTACTTTTCCATGATATATTTATCTATTGACATGTGATTTTGTCATAACAAATTTGCAGATTGAGACTGAACTCACATTTGAAAAACCATTATGCAATATTTAGATTAAAATAATGAAATAGAGGAATGCTTAATTTGGCAAATCAAAGAATATAATTTTGCATTGGATTAAAAAGTTGTTTAAATGCTATAAAGAACATAATAGTATATTGTTATTATTTGGTTAGTTGCTTTTTATATTGGTATTTAAGGTCTAGAAGCCAGTGTAGTTTATAAGATCAATGTTATATCCCAAACTATCTCTGTAAGTTCCTAGCAACTGTGTTCCACATTAACATTCTTCATAAGTAGTTCCATGTAGAATATTAGGCCAGAAGTCATTTTCTTCCTCAGTTCTGTTCTGGCAGAACTATCTTAGTCTACTGAATTAAACCATTGGTTTCATACACTTTAAGCTAAGAGTGCTTATGGCTATCTGGAACCAGTTAGCATCCATTTTACAGCCCCAAAGTGGAGGCTGAAAGTGTCAATCTTTTATTTTTCATCCTGGAGTAGTTTGGGATAGATATATTTATTTGTTTATTTTCAGAACTATTATCAGCAGTTCACGAGGATGGGTTACCTGCTGTTACCTAAAATCATATTTTCACCCCATTCTCTGTAGCTCCACTTTTTTATACAATTGTATAGAATTATAGCTACCGTGTTTCTCACAAAATAAAGCCAGGCCTTTTTTTTTTTTTTGACCCCCGAAAAAACGGCTAGGCCATCTTTTCGGAGGTGACTTAATTCCCCCCCCCCTTGCATCCTCGGGCAGTGACAGCTTGGATGTTGACTTCAGCGTTGGTGGGGCACTTCGTATCGGGAGACCTTCCGCCACTGTTGCTTTCCCTTCTCCCTGTGCTGCTGCGGCGTTTAGAGCAATGCCATGGCGTTTGGCGCAGCCACGCGCGGCCAGCCAGGGCTCCTCCCTGCAACCAGAGCCCAGCGGAGACATTCGGCTTCAGGCACTCCTGTCGCCGCCTTCCCTTCGCCTTCGAAGGCAAAGCCAATTCTTTTAAAAATGACACCCTACTACCAGTACAACAAAGCCTCCCCTGCCCGAGAGGGCAGCCCAACCCCACGTGGGGAGGCAAAACTCCCGGGGCCGCAGCGCAGGATCAGCCCACTCTGGGAGAAGCGCCCAGCCGCCATCCCTGCCTGGCATCGGGCAGAGCGCGAAGAGCTTCGCCTGGGGCACCCAGCACAGCTGACAGGTGGACCCTCCTGCCCGGCGGTGGAGCTCTCGCCAAGGCAGCGAGTGTCTCCCCGCCGGGCCCTCCGCTCATCCCACCAGGGTTGCGCCAGAGCTGTGCAGGCTGGACAGAGCCGGGAAAGTGAGCCACGGGTGCGTGCCTGACTGCCAAGCGAAAGAGCCGGGCCGACCCGAGCTTGGCTTCCTTCCCAAGTCCCTCTAACCCGAACCCGAAGGGGCCACCGCTCTAAACGCCACGGCAGCACGGGGAGAAGGGAAAGCAACGGTGGCGGAAGGTCTCCTGATATGAAGTGCCCCACCAACGCCGAAGTCAACGCAGGCAACACTATATCCGGGTATGCAATAAAAGTACTTCCTAACGGCAAGCCCCCCCGCCATTCCTCCCATTTTGCATGTTTAATATAGGCCTTAATTTGGGGGGAGGGGCTTAATTTGATTTTATGCCTATAAAACATGCTTGGACTTCCTATTGGGGGAGGCTGTATTGTTGGAGAAACACGGCAGAATAAGTTTCCCTCTGTTGGAGAAAGACTTACTTACAGCAAGTTATTTTGGAGGGTATTTTTTGAAAAACACAATGGTTTGTTCTGTGTGAAACAGGTATACTTGTCTCTGCTCCGAATGTATCTTTCACCACCTAGTGTTCATTGCTTGGGACCAATCAAGATGGAACTCTTAGAGCCACAAGCCAATCTTCAAGCTGCATTGCAGGTTCTGGAACTTCATCACAGCAAATTGGACACTACTAAAGTAAGGTTTTCTTAATTTTGCTTTTTTAGATGGGAAGCATTTTAGATTGTAGTACCAGATAAAAAGAATGCTGTTCTAGTCAAAATGCTTACTCTCCACCTACTGTACAAGCACTCTCACAAGGAGAGTGAAGGAGTTTATGGAAACATTGTAACGTTCATTCTATTATCTCCAATTTATGGGCTTATAAATTGTGACTGGAGATTTCTCCTATGTTCATGGACATGCTTAGTATTAGTGTAAAATAAAATGCAAGTATATTGTTAGAAAATTGGAACCATATTTTTATTTGTTTGTTTGTTCATTGGCACAGTCTTTAGAGCCCTCTGAGCTTGGTTATTTGCTTGCATATGTTTTATTACTCAACTAAATAATATAATCAATGCATTGGTGTTGTTACCTAGTTGGGTAATTTAAGCATCTGCGTGATTTTGGAAGAACTTCAATTGATGTAATTTCTTCTTCCATTATCTTTTTATTGTATTTCTAGGCAATAAATCTCCTTCCAGCCAATACTCAAATTAGTGAGATCCGAATATTCTTGGAAAAAGTCCTTGAAGAAAATGCCCAAAAGAAGCGATTCAATCAGATACTTAAAAAGCTTCTCCATGCTGAATTCTTACGGGTATGTGTCAGATTTTTTTCCCTTATCAATGATATCAGAAAGAAAGTTAAAACAGGGAACAGGATAACATGAGTGTTATTCCAGAGATCCCATATCCCCACACTAGTGAAAGGACCATAATTGTTTTTTTTTCCTCAAATGATTTTGAAGGAATTATTCTTTTTTAAAATTATTCTTATTTTGCCAAAGGTGCAGGAAGAACGGATTTTACATCAGCAAGTGAAATGTATAATCACAGAAGAAAAAGTTTGTGGTGTGTGTAAAAAGAAGATTGGAAATAGGTATGTAAAATTACTATTAGGAAACTAGAAGAAATTGCTGCCCAATCTGTTTTTGCAGATTGTCCAGTTCTGACAGCATAGTCTTTCTTTGGTTGCTTTTATGGAAATTTCAGTGAATGCAGTGAGATTGCTTTCCTTATATATACACTGCTCAAAAAAATAAAGGGAACACTTAAAGAACACAATGTAACTCCAAGTCAATCACACTTCTGTGAAACCAAACTGTCCACTTAGGTAGCAACACTGATTGACAATCAATTTCACATGCTGTTGTGCAAATGGAACAGACAAGAGGTGGAAAGCATAGGCAGGTAGCAAGACATCCCCCAATAAAGGAGTGGTTCTGCAGGTGGTGACCACAGACCACTTCTCAGTTCCTATGCTATCTGGCTGATGGTTTGGTCATTTTTGAATGCTGGCGGTGCTTTCACTCTAGTGGTAGCATGAGACGGAGTCTGCAACCCACACAAGTGGCTCAGGTAGTGCAGCTCATCCAGGATGGCACATCAATGCGAGCTGTGGCAAGAAGGTTTGCTGTGTCTGTCAACGTAGTGTCCAGAGCATGGAGGTGCTACCAGGAGACAGGCCAGTATATCAGGAGATGTGGAGGAGGCAGTAGGAGGGCAACAACCCAGCATCAGGACCGCTACCTCCACCTTTGTGCAAGGAAGGACAGGAGGAACACTGCCAGAGCCCTGCAAAATGACCTCCAGCGGGCCACAAATGTGCATGTGGCTGCTCAAATGGTCAGAAACAGACTCCATGAGGGTGGTATGATGGCCCAACGTCCACAAGTGGGGATTGTGCTTACAGCCCAACACTGTGCAGGACGTTTGGCATTTGCCAGAGAACACCAAGATTGGCAAATTCGCCACTGGAACCCTGTGCTCTTCACAGATGAAAGCAGGTTCACACTGAGCACATGTGACAGACATGACAGGGTCTGGAGATGCCGTGGAGAACGTTCTGCTGCCTGCAACATCCTCCAGCATGACCGGTTTGGTAGTGGGTCAGTAATGGTGTGGGGTGGCATTTCTTTAGGGGGCTGCACAGTCCTCCATGTGCCCGTCAGAGGTAGCCTGACTGCCATTAGGTACCGAGATGAGATCCTCAGACCCCTTGTGAGACCATATGCTGGTGCGGTTGGCCCTGGGTTCCTCCTAATGCACGACAATGCTTGACCTCATGTGGCTGGAGTGTGTCAGCAGTTCCTGCAAGACGAAGGCATTGATGCTATGGACTGGCCCACCCATTCCCCAGAGCTGAATCCAATTGAGCACATCTGGGACATCATGTCTCGCTCTATCCACCAACGCCACATTGCACCACAGATTGTCCAGGAGTTGGGGAATGCTTTAGTCTAGGTGTGGGAGGAGATCCCTCAGGAGACCATCTGCCACCTCATCAGGAGCATGCCCAGGTGTTGTAGGGAGGGCAGACAGGCATGTGGAGGCCACACACACTACTGAGCCTCATTTTGACTTGTTTAAGGACATTATATCAAAGTTGGATCAGCCTGTAGTGTTTTTTTCCACTTTAATTTTGAGTGTAACTCCAAATCCAGACCTCCATGGGTTGCTAAATTTGATTTCCATTGATAATTTTTTTTTTAAACAAGTTTTATTAATTTTTTCAAAACACACAAATCATCATTATCCATTACATGTTTAAACCTTTTTCCATTATAAATTTAACAAGTCAGACAAACTATAATTCTATTTTAAACCATTTCCATATAAACATACAAAAACCTCTTATCCAATTTCTCTTTACTTCTCTTTACTCTTATTCCATTTCATTATTATTATTTCATCTTTTTCTTTCTGACTTAGTTACCATTATTCTCATTCTATATTTCTGCAAGGTTTTATTAATTCTCCCTCAAAAAAAACCATATACACACAACACACAAAACATAAAAAAGATCTTTTTGGAAAGCAACTTGGACCCAGGTATCTCTCTCTTCATGGACTTCAATTATATTCATGCTCATCTTACCTATCATTACTTATTTTATTTACCGTTCTAACTCTTCTATATTAACTTCTCCACATATTTCACTCTTCTTAATTCTATCTTAATTAATCATCTTAATTTGAGTCATTATATTTGTATCTTTTGTCCATTCTTTATTGTCCCTTTGTCTCGTTCCTTTTTTTAAAAAAAAGAAGTTTCTCCTGAAATCACTAATCAGAGTATGATGCCTTTCTATCTCCCCCCTAAATTAATCAAATAAACCTTTAAAATAGCACCCAATACCCAATCCGATTTTGCTTGGTACATTCTATCTAAATAGTACATCCAGAATAATTAAATACATAGTTAAACAATAGATCTGAATATTAAAAACAAATACTATAATAGAAATTTTATAATAACATCAATGCCATAATCTTATTAAACTCTTTAATTAAAACTCAATATTCTGAACCTCCCCTCATATTATTAAATTCTAAAACCAATCATTATTAAACATTTCTTCTATTTCTAATACAATACTACAATATCATCTTATGTACCTTGCAAAATCTTTTGAAGAAATTATACTTTATCCTTTATCCCTAAAAAAGATTCCTTTTTTCCCATTTAATTTCAAAACTTTGTAGCTTTTCTCCACCTTTTCCCTTCCTTTCTTCTCCCAACAAACCTTTCTACCCCCCCTTCTTCTAGCCTCTGCCTTACTGGCTTCCCTTCTCTGTCGTGCTCCTTTTCCCTTTTGTTTACTATCATTATATTGATTTTGCACCTTATTTTTCCCTTTCTTAAGTGTTTTTTTAAATCTTAAGTCCTTAGTTTCTCTTCCTTTCCCTCTTACTTCTTTCTTGGTCGATTTCTGAGATTTATTAAAAATGGCTTCCTTTCCTTCTTCTTCTTCTGCTGTTTTCATCTGTTGTAATGTTTGTTGATAGTTAATAAGCGCCATTTCTAAAAAAAGGAAGGCTTCTTTCAAACCAGCTTTACCATTTTTTTTTGCTCGTTCATAATCTTTTCTCAGTTCCTCAATAGAAGGAGCCATTATAAATCTTTTCTTTTCTTTTCCCCTTCTTTCTTCTTACAACAACCAAAATATTCCAAAGAAAAAATAAAACAGTCCCAAAGTTATCAATCAGTCCAAACCAAGGCAGAGTTCTCACTTTCTCCTTCTGGGGTAGTATCAATCAGAGACAAAGAAAGTCCAAATCTGTTTCTTAAAGTCTTATTGCAATATATTTTAGTCTTCAAATCCTTAAGGCATCTCCTCCAACAATCTTAGCATACAAATATTTTTTTTTTAGTCCTCTCTCTTCCCACTCATCGCTTAAAGCCAGTTTTCACCTAAAAAAATAGGTTTCTTAATATTCACTTATTTATTCCGTAGGAAAAGAGGGTAAGCTTTCCTTTCAGCACCATCAAACTGCCGCTTTTTTCCTCTTCTAGAAGGTATCATTCAGAAAGTCATACTTTTCAGGAATTTTGTTAAATATATCTTAGAGTCCTAGGAACCAAGAAAAACTTTCTCCTTTCAAAAACTTTCTCCACTTCCTCCTGCGCATTCTTACCCGGCTGCCAGCTTCTTTGTGGCGGCCATTACGGACTGCCGCTGCACCGTCCTGGGAAAAGGGGGTTCTGCCGGCCGGGGAGGGGGTCTGCAACACCCCCAAACCCTTCTCCGGATCCCCCCTACCTTCAGCTGCCCCTGCAGGGCAGCCTAGCTCCGCACCCGTCCGGATCGGAGCCCCAAAAGCGGCTAGCGCAGCAGGGATCGCGCAGCTTCGCGAATCCCTGCCGCTCGCGAAGCCGACAAACCGGAAGTCCTCCATTGATAATTTTTGTGTGATTTTGTTGTCAGCACATTCAACTATGTAATGAACAAAGTATTTAATAAGAATATTTCATTCAGATCTAGGATGTCTTATTTTTGTGTTCCCTTTATTTTTTTGAGCAGTGTAGTTTTGTAACTGATCTTGTAAAATGGCAGTCTTTCTTATTTGGAAGTGATACTGGATATAAGCCTTTTAAATTCAGTCATATATGAAAGATGTCAGTCAAGTGAAGGACTTGACATTAGATTTTATATCCTTTTTAAATGATGTTGATCCTTTAATTTTGAAATATATTTTATTGAAATGATTTTTTTGCAAGATGCTTGCAAATTTCTATTTCTTACTTTATATCAGAAACATGCTTCAAATATGTTCAAATTTACAGCCGAGTCACATATGATACTCAATCCAAGAAAATACGTGTAGCCTACTGGGTTAAAATGTTCTTGTATGAATCTGTTCCTTCATAAGCAGTACACCTAGTTTACATTCTTTGTTTAGCCCCACATGTTGTGATGTTCTATGGTAAAAGCTAAAGGTTCCTTCAGATCAATCTAAACTTCTCGTAATTCCTGGACATGTTCAGATAGAAATTTTGGAGAAACACTACCGAGCTGGTTTGCTGGTGCTTTCTGGGGTGTTTTTTCAACTTCACAGTCTAGCCTGTAGCACAGGATTCTCTGATGGTCTTCCGTCAAAATATTAACAAACCTTGATTAGCTTTGGAGCCCAGATAGGATCAGCCAGATGCTGCAACCTGTTTAGGCCATTATTATATAACATTTTTACTTTCAAAAAGGACTAGTTTCATCACCATATTCTTTATTATTAGGCTGTTTATACATGGTAAGGTTTTGCCTTCCTTCTATGTCTTGAACTCAATTTTCATCTTATGCTCAGTTTTGTAATCTGATTGTCCACCCTTAGAAATCACTTTTATGTCCTTCCATATTATCTTATAGAGTCCTGCTTCACAACATTATAGAGTAGTTTCCTACTTCGTGCATAGTTTTATGAAGTTGGCAGTATTTGTCTGGGATCCAATCTTTCTTCCAAATAGCTTTGTAATTAAAAAAGTAAAGCTGTTGTTATTTGCAACAAAAGAAGGAAAGCACTATTGTACATAAAGGGACAAAGACACTGGAGTAAGGCATTAACATTTTCAACAAAAAGAGATATTATTGCAGATATACCTTTGGAAAAGAAGGTTGATTTATGGAAGAGGTATCTGTCATACATATGTAAAATTAGCAAGACAAATTAGTGTGCTTTATAAGGAGCACCAGAAATAATTAGCATAAAATACTATATTTAAACTGATACACTGTTTTCTATTCTGCTTATAGTGCCTTTGCCCGGTTTCCTAATGCAGTTGTTGTGCATTATTTCTGCTCCAAAGATGTTGGTTCAATGGATACCTGAAAGCATTGCCACGCATTACATGAACTAGGTGGCCATGATGTTCATATGGAAAGAGAAAGAACATTTGTTAAGCAGTTTGATTTCTCTAAAGAAACTTCTGAGGCATGTTGCTTGCAAACAGCTTGAGCCCTCCATTGCTTCACTGGATGATTTCTAATTTGTCCAGTGTGGACTGAACAACAACAAAAAAACAGGTTTAAACTATTGTTAGATACACTTAGCGGCAGGTTTACCTCATACTACTTCAGTTTGAGGAAGAATGCAAATTAAATATGTAATGGGTTGCTGTTACACTCCAGATTTATAAGAATTCCTAGTAAAGGAAAACTGATGCTGAATATTAATGACAAGAGCAAATAGCATTTTGGGTACAAGTCCTCATTCAGATCCAAGGTGAGAAAAAAATCTTTTATTTTATCAGTGTTGTATTAAAATCTACTTTCATCAGCTATTTGGAGGCAGGTACTACCAAAAAGGCTGTACTTAGATTTTCTTTCCTTCTGATATTGGAAATAAGTAGGTACTGATAAGAAAACTTTGTATCTGAAGAGATTATCAGCAGTAATAGTTCCAAAGGAACTAATCTCATACAATATGATCAGAATTGGTATTTTTAGTTTAATTTTTTTGAAAATACAAATGGGCTTACTATTTGCACTGTGTTTTGTCACTAACATTATGAGCGTAATGAAAACGGCAACAGTTTTTGAAGGAAAACTAGCACTTGCACTTTTACAGAAAAGAGAAAAAAGTGGTCTTTTGAGATTTTTAAGAGGGCATGTTTTCATATTGCTGGAACATCTGATCTTTGTTTAAAAACAACATTGTAATGAAATATTTAAGCCTTTTGTGCACTTCCTCCTTCTGGTAGAGCAGAGGCTTATTTAATGTTAGTATTTTGAGTTTCTTACACCTGTTCAAATTGGTGCTCTTTGGTTGCTTGATGTACCTAAGTCACTTTTTTATGTTGGAAGAAACTGCTTACTGTTACATACTGGAATTTAAATCTTTGTTGTAAAGGGGATAAGGATGTGAGTATTCACATAAAAATAAACCTGGGAGCTAAATGAGGAATTACTTCAACTTAGTTTGGTGTTGTTTTACTTTATTGTATTTTGTAAATTTGATAATGCAATTGAGGCACATGATTCATTTACTGAGCTGGCCTAAAATGTAAAGATGGCCCAAGAAAAGTTGGTTAAGGTTTTCTTTTTGTGTTTGAATTTCAGTTATAATATATGCTTGTTATAGTTAGAAATGAACAAGGAGAAATTTAGAACATAATACACTTCAAAAACAGCTTGGTATTTTGTAATTGTTTTCCTGATAACCTTTATTATATTTCCAGTGGAGTATATTCCAGAGAGTATATCTCTTTCTTCAGTTAATTGCATATTGCTGCAGGTTTTATGATTCATTCATTTGTAAAATTAAGTACCATTTCAATGGGTGTATGTGTGGAACGAAGTAATTCTCTTCTTCACATGGAAGAAATACGAAGCGATTGGATTTTGCTCATTTATATTCAAAAACCTTTATAAAGTAGGGCAGATAATTTTCCTCAGAGATTAAATGAAATATGTAACGGACAAAGGACAATTATTGCAAAACCAATTATGAGCTTTGCTGACCATTCTGAAACACTTTAAAATGTGTTTGCTCCCAAGAAAGTAGGGAGCCCCTGAAGCTTCTGGTAAGTATTTAGCTTTTCCTTCACAGCAAAGTTTTTATGTGCCTTGGTTCAGCTTCCTGTATTGTTGGAGGAGATGCTGCTTGTGTTTTTATTGCCTGTTGTATAAAAATATGTGACTCACTAATTGTACAGCAGGCTCCTTTAAAGCAATAAAATATAACATTTTGAGAAATTGGCACTGCCATCTGTTTTTCCCTGTATTTCCTTTTGAAATCAGTGGTGGGCATAAGTACTGTCCAAGAGTTTAGCGTGAAATAAGTATTGTGCTGATAGTGAAGTTCTAAAAAGTTCTGTTCAGGAATCTCTCCCTCCCTCTCTCTCTCGTCTCTTTTCAAATCTGAAACTGCTGTACAAGTTTATGAAGTTCAGTTTAACTTTATTTGCTTTCATTTATGAAGTTCAGTTTAATTTTGCCTTCATTTATGAAGCTCAGTTTAACTTGTAAATAAAGTTTTGTTCAATTTGATCTCAACTCCTGATAGCGTCATTGAAATGCCTGGCCTTTGTTCTCTACATGAATACAGAAGTGATTTGCAGCTGTTGCCTTTTGGGATGGTTTTCACCTGCTCAGTCTAATTTATAGCCCTTTAGCAAACTGAATATTGTTATACAATATATATTGTATATATTGTTATTGTAACCTTTAGCAAACTGAATATTGTTATACAGATAGACATACACAAAAGCTCTCCTTTCCAATTATTAACCAGACCTCATTCTGAACCCAGATAAGGGTAGCTATTTAGTTTGTATTATCTATATTTTTAAGCATGGTTTTATTATCTTTTTAAAAAGATGCTGTTGATCTTGAAAATAAATCCTTAAAGAAACATTCCCTTTATATTTCTAAACCATTTTATCATAATATAGAAGAGAGGAAGAAAATAGCATTCTAGGCAGCCTATTGATCAAGTGTAGGGGTGTCAAACTCGCGGCCCACGGGCCAGATGCGTCACATGCTGGCCACTCCCCCACCCAGTTTAGCAAAGGGGGGAAAAGTCCGGATATGTCACGTGATGCTGCCATGACGACATGAGTTTAACATCCCTGATCTAGTGGATTTGATAATTCACAGAGAAATGGGCTGAGTTCTTCAGGAAAAATACTATGATTTCTGTTTTCATGTTCAGAGCATTTAATGTGCATAAATATAGTAAATACATCATTTCTCACTGTACTGACATTGTGTTTTATATATAATATTTAAAAAATGAAAACCAGGCTCTGATTTTAGAGACTGGACATATGTAGAAAGTAAAATCAATGAGCCACTGTGAAACTACTAGGATATACATATTGGACCCGGTCTATTCACACCCTGTAATAAAGTGAGCAAGTGGGGGCTTTTCTTCACTTGAAAAACGAGATCTCATTTTATTAATCATTTTGCTTTAGGATCACTTTATTTTCTTTCAGGTTTCCCCTCCTTCCCTTTGGAATATGAGAAGCATCTCAGTTTCTATTTACAATTGTGTTAAAAAAAAACACCAGCTGATTTATGTTTCCCAATCACTTCCCTAAACTGACAAGTCTTCAGATTATGATGATTCATTTAGTAACCATTTGAAGTTATGATTGTATTGAAATAGGTGACTTAAGACTAGTCCTCTTCAATGGGAATGCATGTGGGCAAAGGATTTAAAATTTACATTAAATTATAATTTAAAAGAATGTTTTTGTAAAATGATTAATCATTGTTATTTAACACCTGATAAATCATCAAAGATGTATGCTAAAAATGTAAAAGGAATTTTCTACCATCTTTGGTGAATTTGTGACAAAGCAAAGAAACGGGAAAGATTCATATTTTAATACAGAAGATTCTTAAAATGAATATACAAATAAAAGCAGAGACTTTTCTTCTAGACTTAAATGGACAAAGAACTTGAAAAAAAATGGCACTTTGTTGTTACACATGTGGATAACAGTAAGAACGCTTTATGTTTAAAAATGGAAAGGTACATTATTTTCCATAGTGGAAAAGTAGTTGGAAAAACTGCTGGAACTAGTAAAGATGACCAAATTAACATTTTTAATCAAAGAAAAAAATAAATCTAACTTTTGTTTCCATTTGGAAACCGCTTCTGAATTTTGTGCTTGCGATAGAAAAAAATGAAACTGACTTTGGGATTTACTGATTAAACAAGGTTTTCTTGTTATAGCAATGGCTAGTATATACTGAATATGAAAATTAAAAAGTTGAAGCTACGATGTTGTTATGATAACCATTTTGCTGTAGTGAAGAGTTGGAAGTTACTGCTTCCTTCCTCCCCACAGCTTACATTTCTCTTTCCCCTTTTGTCCTTTTCCATTTTCTCACTATTTTCATTTTCATTTGTATTTTATACTGAGATACATTTAATAAAATATTTTTTAAAAGACTGGTCTTCCCACTTATGACCATCACAGCATCCCCGCAGTCACATGATCAAAATTTAAATCAATTCTTGATGTACACCAATATCCAAAGCAGACGCACTGTAATTGTTATGTGACAATAACATCTGTTAGTGGTTCAGCTGTTCCAGTTTTTTTCTGTTTAGTGGAGAAATAGATGCTTAGAAAGTAGCTTCGGAATAAACAACTTCTTTGCAATTAATGCTCTTGCTGAAACTATCACACAGTCAAGACTGACTACTGAGTGGCTATATATATACCAAAATAACTTGGTGGTTTCAGAAGCCATAGACACCAGTCAAGAGTATCAAAACAATTTTTTTCTTTGATTTCCTTGGTATGCTTATAAATGACCTTTTTTCTCCCAATCTAACAGGTGGTTGAAAACTGAAGTATGCTGTGCACTATATAGTAGTATAATTTTGTGGTTTACAAAAGCAATATTAATAAGTTCACATCACACGCTATTAGATTCATATATCACGCTGTGCCAGGGTTTGATTGTTGTGGTTTAGCTTTGATTACCTTGTGTGAACTTGGCCATTGTAATTTAAATAATGCTTTATAATTTACTGAATTATGGTAACCCAGCCAATTGTATTTTGTTCAATAAACTAGTTAACAAATTACAATTTAATATGGTATGTGAATCCAGGCACTATTGACTTACCTGATCTCTAAAATTAATTGTACCTGTTATTTAAATATACCAGTGAAATATAGAGTACCTCAAATATCTGGTGAGTTATAAGCAACATTTCACTATTTAAATGTAATTTATAATTATTGAGGTAGTGATTGCTTAAGGCAAATGTTAATTTTAAGTATAACAGAAATAAGCCAATATAAGTATAAATCATTCAATATAGTTGTTAAAATTTTCTTCTTCAAGATGTATTGACTAACTTGGAAAGTCCATCTTGTAATGCATTTGTTATAACTTCAAACTTTATCTAATGTTTAGCAATTGCTCCCTATAAGATGGGGATTCATCTTATTGCACTGACATGGTGAAAGTATTAATATGTACTTCTGTTCCTTTGTTACATGGGAAATTCTTGAGTGAGGTAACAGTATTGTCTTTTGTATTACCGTATTTGCCGGCGTATAAGACGACTGGGCGTATAAGACGAGCCCCCAACATTTCCACTCAAAATATAGAGTTTGTTATATACTCGCCGTATAAGACGACCCCCCCACTTGGAGGCATGTTTTTCAGGGCAAAAAAGTCATACGCCGGCAAATACGGTAAGTTGTAACACTTGGGGTATTCTGGATATAATTCTTGATTGACACCCCCGCCCCTTTCCCCCAAACTTACAAAGCCACCAAAATGCTTTAGAGAGGCAGCTTCGCCTTTCTCAGGCTGGCACTCAATTCCTCTCCCTT